GTTAATAGCACCTAAGAGATTTTGAACCTGAGACCTAGAGAGGAGCAAACTCCTAAGTCCCAAACCTCCACCACTAGGCCAACCTTTGGGGTTAATCCTAGTCTCTAAATTGTATGAACTAGGCACTTTTATTTTATGAATTAAAGATTTAAATCCATTTAATATTGAATATGACTTGTTAATCAAATCTAATATTGGCTCTTTGTGTGTGGGTCGTCTAAATTTAAATTTATAATTTACAAAATGTGTCAACATGACACAATCTGAAAGCTCGGACGGGAGAAGCCGAACTCAATTCTTTAATACATAGATAATTAAAAAAATTCATATGATCTTTTGAAGAACAAAAGACTGAATCAAGACTTAATAAAGATTTTGGTACCTGCAGCATAAAACAACCAGATTAGCAAATAATGATTTCGTGTCCAATGTGAGCACAATAATAATAATAATAATAATAATAATAATAATAATAATTAGGCAATATTAAAAAGAACAAAACTAGTCACATTAGCTTAACATAACCCACAAATTCAGTCAAGATTATTCAAACAATAAAGGTTCCATCATTCTACCCCAAAAAATTAGTTCTGGGTTGGACAATATCTATTTGGCAACAGTGAAAATTGTCCCTTTTTATTTTTTCATGATTTTTTTTTTTTAAATTGTGACCAAAAATTTATACTTTAAAAAATAATTTAAAAGAAAATTGAAATAATTCACTATAGACAAACAACAAAAACAAAAATAATCTTCTTTTAGTTTGATTTTGTCTTTAATGAATTTTTTCCAAGAAAAATATTTTTACTTTTCAAGTCTGTCTAATAGTCAGGATGTAAAAGTGAATTAAAAAAAAAAAATCACTACAAATGAAAAAAGAAATCAACAAAAGATTGCTAAAAAACAATTGTCAAGTCCAACTTTTTTATTTTTTATTTTTTTAATAGTCTGCAGTGACATAAATTTGGATTTTGATGGGTCTTTTTATTTTTATTTTTATTGATTTGGCCTGAAGAAATTGTAACAACTAGTGAAAGGATGGGACTAAAAAGGTAAGGAGTATTTTCTTTAATTTATAATTTTTTTGTTTATATTTATAATTTTTTAAAAATTTGTAACCAAAAAAAAAATATTGAGCTTGCTTGTTTCTATTTTTTAAAAAACACTTTTCAGAAAATTATACTTTCTTATTTTTCGTGTTTTTTTTTGTTTTTATTATTTTTTTTAATATTTTAAACAATTTTTTTACTTTTTAGACACACCTAACATAAATACACTTAAAAAGTAAAAAAAATTATAAAAAAAATCTTTTAAAAATTCACTAAATACAAGAATTTAGTACATTTTTTGTATTTTTATGTATTTATTAATTTTTTAAAATATTTTTTCACTTTTTAGATACATTTTAGATGTATCTAAAAAAGTAAAAAAAAATGTTTAAAATTTTTAAAATATTAACTAAAAACAAAAAATACAAAAAACAAAAAATTAAAAAATTTAATCCAAAAAACTCAAACCAAACACATTGATTTGTTTTCAAACAAACTTTCATTCGATTGAGACCCTCTTTGGCCATCATCATTGCCAAGGACTTCCATATCTCCCCGGCTATAGCTGCTGTTGGACCTTCTTTCACTAATTTTTATAACAAGTTTTTAAAATAAAAGTGTTAAATATATTTTAATTTTTAATTTTTAATTTTACTAAAAATAAATGTCAAGTTATTGTTTGACGGTTGAAGGTAAAAGAGTTTGCGCTGCTGTTAGAACAATTTAAGAGTAAAATTATGGTTCTTATGGCAAGTGAGTTATTGATTTTTTTTTTATTATTAAAATTTACAAAAAGATATAATAAGTTAAAACAATTAATAAAATAAAATGTTACATCAAACTCATAATCATTTTATTTTTTTCTCATAAACATCACATTCAATTACAAAAAAAATCAATTATTTTCTAAACACAAAAATTTTAGTATACTAAAATAGTCAAAAATTAAAATAACCTACTAAAATAACTAATTTCTCAAACAAGTATAAATCGAATGGCGGATTGACAGATTAACAAATCGCAATTTAGATGGATTTAAGCGGATCGGCATATTGAAGATTACTCTAACTAATTATCAAGCATTTGCATAATATATAACACTAATTTGTATAATATTTTTCATATTTATAACACAAACTAATTTTATATAATATTTTTCATATATATAGTTATTAATTTATAACAAATTTCATATCTTATATCTTTTTAACATTCATTTTTACTTTAATATTTATTAGAAGTTAAAAATATATATGTATTAACTATAACAGAGCAGAGCTGGTTCGAAAGTAGATTATAAATTTTAAAGTTCAATCTGCGATTTGTGTATAGAACGGTGTATTTGAAATTATCAAGTCAATTCAAATAATTTCTTTTATTAATAAATTATCAAGTTCATTCAATTTATAATTCAAGTAATTTTGTTGTTATATAATAGAACGGTTAAAAAAAATATTTTTTCAATTAATTCTATGAGATAAAAAATTTGACAATGGAGTATTTGAAGTTTTCCAAATTATTGGAATAATTTGTATTTTAGTTAATTTTAAGAATGTATTTATAATCGAAAAATTTACCTATAAATCCCATTTTAAAGAATGATAATCCATTTAGTCCTAAAGATTTTCTTATAGACCAATTAGTCTCATTGGTTTTGGAAAGGTAGATTTAATATATTATTTGGAAATTAGATTTACGGTTATACCCTTATTTCTATTATTATTTTTTTTTTCTTCTTCTTCTTCTTCTTGTTCTTCTTTTTGTGTGTGTGTGTGTTTGAAAGGTAAGGTACACAATTTATGTGAATCAAATTTTGGATGAATTTTTATATGGAAATCTTTTTTATTTGAAAAATATTTCAAAAGGAATATAAAAACGACTTAAAATATTGGATCGTTCAAACATCACAAAAGAATGTGAGATTCTTTAAACATTTCAAAATGAGTACAAAAATCTTTTAATAAACTTTGGGCAAATGTATAATTTCAGATTGTAACACTCAAACGTAACACTCCAATGCAATATTTTAAAAAAAAAATTGTAATGTATTTTTCTCAAACGTAATACTCTAATATAATATTTCAAAAAAACTCCTTACTGTAATACTTGAATGTAACACACAAAAAAACTCATCAGTATACTTTTTTCAATTATAACACTACAATGTAGCACTCCAAAAAATGGATGTGAGATGTTTCAAATCATTTCGAAAGGAGTACAAAAATTCCTTAGTAAGTTTTGAACAAATATATAATTTTAAATTGTGAGTGTTATGTTTAGAGGAAAAAAAAAGAAGTATATTAATGAATTTTTTATTATTTTTGTGTGTTACCTTTGAAGTGGTACCTTTGAAATTACATTGAAGTGTTACATTTTAGAAAAGTATACAAAAAACTTTTTCTGTGTGTTATATTGGAATGTTACGTTTGAAAAAAGTACACTAATGAATTTTTTTGGAATGTTATATTGTTATGTTTGAAAAAAATTCACCAAATAGTTTTTTAATGTGTTACATTATTAGAATATTACATTAGAGTGATATATTTTTATTTGTAATGTGAGATTTATTCTAAAAGGAAGAAAAATCCAAAACCTCTATAGTGCAGATTACCTAAATATGTAATTTTACATTTACATAAACTCACTTTTATCCCTAAAAAATTAAACTTACATATATAAGTGACTACCCTTTTATATAATTTTTATTTTAATAAGACCTTTAGATTTATAAAAAAAAATGAAGAATTAAACAATTCTTAGGATTTTTGAGAAGTTGGTAAAAAGTTGACTGTTGGCTTTTTACCAAGCTTTTAAATTTTTTGGAAAATAATTTAGGAAGTTGATAAAAAATTGAATTTTTGCTTTTTAGTTTAATATTTATTTATAGTGTCAAATCAAATTAAAATGACCAAAATATTTTTACCCAACATAAAAAATTTATTTTTTTATTTTTTTGTCATAGGCCCTAATTTGTAATTTCACAATTGCATTTTTTGCCCTTCCCAAACCAATTTTGCTGTGTTTTTGGCCACTTACGCTTTTGAAAAATGATAAAAAAAACATGACTTTTTATGATAGTTCCCAAAATGGCACATAATATCATATTTTGAGATTTAGGAGTTGTTTGGAATGACCTAAATAAGTGTACTTTTTGTCTTTTTACGAAAAGAAGTACAAAAAAATAGAGAGGTAATGTGATAAAAAACAATAAAAAGATAAAAAAATAAATTATTTTGTATATGCCAAACTTGACCTTAGTGCTTCGTCCTTTATAATTTAACCTTTTTTGTTTTATTTTATGGAAATTTGTAATTTACTTTAAACAATAATATATATACTTATACTGAAAATAAAGGGATTAAGTTGTACACGGACGCACCGTGAACTTCAATTTTACAGTAAACCAATATAAAATTGCCACGTAATCAAATAATTGTTTTTTGCTATCCCTTCCCCTCACGTTGGGTACCGCAAAACACAAACACACTCACAACCCTCGCTATCAACCACCGCCACAACCCTTTCCGATACAGAAATTTTACGATGCTCTGTTTTTGTGGTGGTTGTTGGAATGTGAAACTTCAATTGAGGAGGGCATGATTTCGATTGTCTTTTGGATATTTGATAACAAGAAACAGTCTGCCTCTACCAATTTGTTTCTATATGGCAGATCAAAGTATATATATTAATGGACAACAAAAGCAAATCTCTCATCCTAAGATTCACATACGCCAGAGGAGAAATTTAGGCCAAGTTTGGCATGATTGAAAAAAGACAAAAAATCAAAAAGTCACTATCCTATTTAAGTCACATCATCTTATTTAAGTCACATCACCTCTCTAACACATCACTTCAAACCCAACTCAAACCCAACTCATATTTCATAAAAAGTCAAAAAGTGCACTTATTTAGTCTTCCCAAACTAAGCCTTAATCTTGGTAGCAGTATGAGAGAGATGGGTTTTACTGAGTAAAGGGTTGCAGAAGAGGTGTTGCTACGGGAAAAGAGGAGGGTAGCTGTTGCACCATGCGCAGCAGCCCCCAAACCTAGAAGAGGCGGGGGTTCCATAGTTGAGATGAGTAAGTGAGAGAAATAGGGCAAAGACAGAACAAAGTAATTTTCTAGGTAATCAATGAATTAGCTAACGTGGCACTGTTTTATTTGCTGACGGTAAATAACTTGAGCTTAAAAATCAATTATCTTTCTTATATACTAAAAGTTTTATCAAATATCTCCACCGGTGGACTCACATAAGAGAACTATAATATGGAAATTTTACATTTATACGAGATATTTAATAAAATTTTTAGATTTCTAACCTTACCCAATAATGTTAGTTGGCTCTAGCAAACTGTTACAGGCCTGTTTCAGACTTTCATTGCAGAGGGGAGAGAGAGAGAGAGAGAGAGAGAGAGGTGTTTTACAGCTCGTGATGAAAGAGAGAAAGACGACACAAAGACAGAGAAAAAGGAGGAAAGAGAGAGGGTGTTTTGTCTTGATTTGTGTTTGGGCTAAGATTAGTCCATAGCCTTGAAGAAATCTTTTTGCCTCGTTGTCTCTGATGATGAATGAGTTGTTGGGAAACCCTTGTCCTTTTGATGGACTGACCGAAGTCTCTTCTTCTTCGCAAACTACATTTTTCACTATGACATTTTCACTCTCAATTTCTTCTATTAATTTGGGATGACCACCTGATCTTCTCTCCCTACTTTCCTTCAAAATCAAAGACAAAACATTCCTGATTGAGAAGATTCCAACACAAAAGATTCAACTATTCATAGAAATTAAGGAATGAATGGTGTTTCTGCCCATGAACCAGAGTACTCTGAGTTTGTTGAAGTTGATCCTACTGGAAGATATGGAAGGGTATGCCTTGTTTTCTTTACTTTTGGCTCTTGCTTTCTCTTTCTCTGATTCACTTTCTGTTTTTATTTTTTGCAGTACAGTGAAATTCTTGGTAAAGGAGCTTCAAAGACAGTGTATGAATCTTCTTTCTGCATACCCTTTTCAAATTTCTGCAGAATTTGAACTTTTTCTGGCAGTGTGATTTTTTTTTTGTTTTCCCTCTCTTAATTGGTACATTTTCCTACATACCTTGCCATTTCATGGTTTCTTTTTTCTTTTCTGGTTTGTTGTTTTTGCAGTTATAGAGCTTTTGATGAGTATGAAGGGATTGAAGTAGCCTGGAATCAGGTAAGGCTTTATGATTTCCTGCAAAGGCCTGAAGATCTTGAGAGGTTGTATCGTGAAATTCATCTGCTCAAGACCTTAAAACACAACAACATCATGAAGTTCTACACTTCTTGGGTAGATACTGCCAACAGGAACATCAACTTTGTGACTGAGATGTTCACCTCTGGCACTCTCAGACAGTAAGTAAATTAGTCTCCGTACTGTTCTAATCTTCAAGTTCCTTAATCTTCTCATACGCGTCTTTGTTTTTTTTTGTTTTTTTGATGTTTTGATCGGGTAATTCTCATTTTCAATGGTTTGGTTGGATACAGGAGAAATTGGAGGCTGCATATACTCTTCTTATCTTCAACTTCTTTGATTTGCTCATCGTAGTCTTTGAATTTCTTGATGTTTTGACGTGGATAATTCTCATTTTCAATTGTTTGGGTAGATACAGGGGAAATTAGAGGATCCATGTACTAATATAATCTTCAAGTTCTTTGATTTGCTCATCTGGGTATTTGCTTTTTGATGTTCTGATGTGGGTAAGTAATTTTCATTTTCGATCGTTTGGGTAGGTATAGGGTAAATTATAGGATCCATACAGTCTTCTAATCTTCAAGTTCTTTGATTTGCTTATTTGGGTCTTTTCATCTTTTGATGTTCTGATGTGGGTAATTCTCATTTTTAATTGGTTGGGTAGATATAGGACAAATTGTAGGATCCATATAATCTTCATGTTCTTTGATTTGCTCATCTAGATTATTCTCATTTTCATTTGTTTGAGTAGGTATAGGCTAAATTATAGGGTAGATATAGGCTGCTAACCTTGTAGTTCTTTGATTTCCTCGTCCAAGTTTTTGCATGTTTTGATTTTCTGATGTGGGTAATTTCTCATTTTCAATTATTTGGATAGGTATAGGCTAAAACACAAGAGAGTTAACATTAGAGCAGTGAAGCACTGGTGTAGACAGATCTTGAAAGGCCTTCTCTATCTCCATAGCTGTGACCCCCCGATAATCCATAGAGATCTGAAGTGTGACAACATTTTTATCAATGGGCACCAGGGGGAAGTCAAGATTGGCGATCTCGGCCTTGCTGCAATCCTCCGTAAATCCCATGCAGCCCGCTGTGTTGGTGAGTCGGAACCATTCAAGACTGCTGTATCAAATGATCAAATTTCATTATAGCTAGCATTACAAATTTAATTGAGATTTCATTTATCCGTTACTTCACCGCACACAAATTTGTTCATCAGAATCTAAATTTAAATTGAATGGTGGTAATCAAATATTCATGATTTCTCTTGAATTGATTTAGGAGTGTTTGTCTTGGTTCATCTCAGGAACGCCAGAGTTCATGGCACCGGAGGTTTATGCTGAGGAATACAATGAATTAGTTGATATATATTCATTTGGGATGTGCATCTTGGAAATGGTCACTTTTGAATACCCATATAGTGAATGCACTCACCCTGCTCAGATCTACAAGAAAGTTATCTCTGTAGGACCTCAAGCTCTCGAGCTCTCAATTTTTCCCTTTTGATATTCAATTTTCTGTCTTGCTAATCACCCATTAACTTTATATAATTTTTACATAGGGCAAAAAACCAGATGCCTTGTACAAAGTCAGGGACCCTGAGGTTCGACAATTTGTTGAGAAATGCTTGGCGACAGTGTCACGCAGGCTATCTGCTAAGGATCTTCTGACGGATCCTTTTCTCCAAATTGACGAGTTTGGATCTGATTTGAGGCCAATAGGGTATTACAAAGATTTCAATGAAGTAGGCCCTCTTTTAAGACAATCTCTTTTAGGAAATCATCATAGCTACAGCTCCTTAATCAATGGTTACTCCAATTGTAATGGGTATGAACCTCAGAATGACTTGGATTACCATCCAGTTGAGTTTGAACAAAATGAAATTGACTCCTTCACTAGTCAACATGATCTACATTTGGCAAATGTTGACATAACCATCAATGGGAGGAGGAGAGAAGATGATGGCATCTTTTTGAGGCTCAGAATTGCAGATAAAGAAGGTTTGTCGAATATTATTTCCAGTAATGCTACAAACGCTAAAATTTCACTACACTACATTCTGTGTGCTTTTTGGGGGGGGGGGGGGGGGGGGATTGTGTATGTATTGTTGTCGTGTTCAATTATTTTTAGCTTCACTTCCTTTCCATGTTGAACTGTCAAATGTGGATTGAGACCAATTGAGCATTGGATTTCTCTTTGCAGGCCTTTTTCGAAATATCTACTTCCATTTTGACATTGAGACGGACACAGCATTAAGCGTTGCTACTGAAATGGTAGCTGAGCTGGCTATTTCTGACCAGGATGTGACCAAGATAGCAGATATGATAGACGGTGAGATTGCTTCTTTGGTACCCGAGTGGAAGAGAGGATTAGACATAGAAGAAAGTCCCGGTTACACAAATTTGAACTTTTGTCCCAATTGTGCTCCCAATGGTTCTCTTATGGACTACCTATCCACCAACGTTCCAAGCTCCAAGAACCTGCACGTTCTTCCGTGTTCTCAACATGGATGTGCATCTGTACATGGCCGCTTTGAAGAGATCACGTACCAGTTTGATGAGTCTGAACAATGTGTTACAGAAGGTGCACCAGGAGCATCTAGTCAATCTGATGGAATGCAGTACACCGATATTTGGGGTCAACACGATGGACCTGAGCTAAGCTCCGAAGGGTCCCGGGAAATCCACTCCGACGATGAACACGATGATCATTCAAACTTAGAAATGCATGAGAGCGCGATTAGCATGGACAAGAAGAGTAAGTCCAATGCAAGGAACTCTCTTTCAACAAATGAGGACTATGCAAATGAGGTAAGGCATGAATTGAGGTGGCTCAAGGCCAAGTACCAAATGCAATTGGGAGAACTCCGTGATCAACAATTGGGACTGGTATTAAAATCTTCACGTTCAACTCTCAATTCCGATAAAAGAGAACAGAAGAGCGATAGTGGATCGGTTTCAACCCCCTCAAAGGAAGCGAAGAATGAGGCTTTACTGAAATCTTTCACCGCCGGGAAGCATCACACTCTGTATTTTCCTGTTGTTGATGCCAAGAAGAAATGTTCAGACCGAAGTGCTCACAACTTTGATTCAGCTTATGGGTCTTGTAGCCCGGAGCGAATGGTCACTGCAAAGAGTTTCTATGCAGGGGAATTGCTTCCACACTCGCTTCACCGGGCTACTTCTCTTCCGGTTGGTGCAGTAGATTTCTAGAATTTTCCGTAGTTATATGGGAGATTCTTTATCAGTATACCAAAAAATAAGGAGATGGATATAGACTTCTTGTGATGAAGAGCATATACATATTTGAGGTTTTTACAGCTTGTAGAGGCTCAAGTCCTAGTCAAAATCAGCTTAGTTATTAGGTTGAAAAGAGTGAATGTACATTGCTCACTAACATTATAGTAAAATGAGCTTTCCCAAATCTTCCTCTTCTCCTCCATTGGATGCTTTAGATAGAAAGAAGAGATGCATTTTTCAAAAATGTAGATGGCTGGGATAAAATGAACTATCAGAAATGTCAGTTTTGGCTGGTCAAACAAGAGGTTTCAGATTAAAAGGGGGGGAAAAAAAGAAAAGAAAAGAAAAGAAATGGTTTTAGACCACTTAATAGCCTGTTTTTCCCCTTTAAATCTCCGTCCACGTGTTTTGAATATTGTGTTGAAAATTTTGACATATAATTGTGCAGCTAAAAATATATTGGAAAAAAGAAATTTGACAATAGAGAAGGCCCCCCCATCATCCATGGTTTGGATTCCTGCCTAAAGTTTCACTATATATATATATTTTTTTTTTGTCGTCGTCATCGTCAAACTAATAAACCCTTATGCCTAACACTCTCAACTTTATGAGAAGAATGATGTTATATAAATTAATAAATATTATAAAATTTTCTTACATGACATATTACTTAGTATTTTTTTTATTTGTAAAATTTATTCATTTATATAGAGCATTATTCTAATGAGATTCTCAAAAGGGCAAAAATTTTCAACCCACTTGGTGGTATGGAATTATGGAAGGTACAATTGATAGATAATGGACCCAACTACAAATAATATTATCAAGGTCCAAGTTCCCTTTTTTTCTTCTTGCCTAATTTTAGGTGAGATATTTAAGCCATTCATGTTCAAGATATAAATAAGCAAGCATAAAGTATTAACATTTGGGCCTGGCTTTGGTCTAGTCCATCATCGGACTGGACCGTACTATTGGGTCCGTGGGGGCTCATCACGGGTCTCATTTTAAAAATTTGAATCGTTCAATATGTAAAACTCGTCGAGCACTATATGACTGTAAAAAATCACGTTGATCGGATATCGATAACTATGTGATCAAAACAGTTTTTTTATCAACCGTTAATTTATTCACCGTCCATTTTTTTTATACAAAACTGATTTGATCAGATAGCTATCGATATCCGATCAACGTGATTTTTCACAGGCTTATAATACTCGACGAGTTCTACACATTGAACGGTTCAAATTTTCAAAACGGGACCCGTGATGAACCCTCACAAGCCTTACAATATAGTCCAGTTCAATGACGAACTGAACCAAAGCCAGACGCTTAACATTTTACCTCTCGTGACTTGGGGATGTGGACAGGTTGGTTTGGAGATGTCTTTATTAGTTAAACTGCTTAGGTGGATTTATAGATATTGTTTAGCGAATTACACTAATAGCCTTTATAATTTGAGAATCGTATCACTCTAATTTTTGATTTTTTAATTGTGATATATTTTATCATAAATTTTGAATCTTGTTCTAAATAAGGACAATTGAAGATGTTATTATTCAATTTAAAGGGTTAAGTCGTCAATTTAATAAAATATAAATTAATTTAACAAAAATAAATGTCAAAAAAATATTTTTGAATTTTTAAAATTATTTCTATCCATCATAGATAAAATTATGTAAATTGATAAATCTCTTATGCATTTATTTATTTTATCAAATTAATTTTTATCATGTGTTTGGATGATGATCATGTAATGGGCAGTTACTAGGCTTTTAATCTGTAATCGATATATTTAATATATGAAATGTTTTTAATTTTAGATTTTTTAATTTAATAGATTGGTTTAATAATGATATCAAAATTATCGCCATATTTGCCTTTTGAAAAAATAGAAACTAATTTAATGAAAATAAAAACAATCACCTATTACATGATCATCATCTAAACATATAAAAAAATTAATTTGGTAAAATAAATAAATGTGTAAAAGATTTATTAATTTTACATAATTTTATCTTCGGTAGATAAAAATAATTTTTAAAAATTTAAAAATATTTTTTTGACATTTATTTTTGTCAAACTAATTTATATTTAAATTAACGAATTTACCCTTAAAATTAAGTAATAATATTTTTAATTATTCTTATTTAAAATAATATTTAAAATTTAAAATCAAATATACCACAATTGAAATGTTAAAAACCGAAGAAATACAAGTCCCAAACTCTTTAGCGTAATTTGTCCAGATTTTTTTTCACTTTATGAACCCGCCAATCTTCAAAACCGATGTCAAGAATTCCACCATTGAAGCAAAAGGTGTAAAAATCAAATACAATACAACTTTCGTGAGAAAGTAATTAAAACTGTAAAATAATTTTAATTTAGGTAAATTATTAATAAGTCTTAATAATTGAATTTAATTCCTATCTAATTCTATTGATAATAGTCCTAATAAATCGTTGTTAAAATATTTTTTTGTGACTTTGTCGCATATGTCGTTAAAAATTAATAATTAATGACTTTTTCACAGTTTTTTAAATTGTCACTAAAACTTACAATTAATGAATTTTTTCTGTGACAAATTTTTTAAACTTTCGCTGAAAGTTGAAAATTAATTTTTTTTTGTGATGATTTTTTTAAAGTGTCACTAAAACCTTTAATTAGTGACATTTTTGTGGCAAAATTTTTAAACTGATACTAAAAATTAATAATTAGTGATTTTTTAATAGTATTTGATAAAAATTATCATTAATTATCATAGGACCAATTCCATAATAAATATATTTATTAGAACCTACACTTAATTCCATTTTAATTTGCAGGTGAATGATGCATGACATAATATTATATTAGATTATATTAGTTCAAAGAAGAGGATTGACCTAACAGAAGGAGACAATTAGTTTTTATTTTCATACCTATATTTTAAAAATAAATAATCAGTTAAAAACTAAAAATATTTCATATATTAAATATATCGATTATACATTAAAAGCTTAACAATTACTCATTACATGATCATCACCCAAATACATAAAAAAAATTAATTTGGTAAAAAGTTAAATAAATGTGTAAAAAAATTATCAATTTTACATAATTTTATCTTTGATGGGTAGAAATAATTTTTAAAAATTTAAAAATATTTTTTTGATATTTATTTTTATCAAATTAACGACTTTGTCCTTGAAATTAAGTAATGGTATCTTTAATTGTTCTTATTTAGAACAAAATTTAAAATTTAAGATCAAATATATCATAATTAAAAAGTTAAGAATCAAAATAAAACAAGTGTCAAACTATAAAAATTATTAGTGTAATTCGCCCAAAATGTGTTTTCATGCCATCTCCTTGCTCACGTTAATAATGTGATGAACTGCAACATCAGGTCATAGAAAAAGTGGCCATATGCATTGCAAATCACAGGTAGACGTGGTAGGATATAGACACCTTTTACTAGTCCCTTATTAAAAGGATCATTATATACCCCTTATTAAAAGGATCATTATATACCAACCTAACCATGTTGAATTCAACCCCACAAACAAACAAATAAAAAATAAGTTAAAGGTCACTGTAGAAACAGCACTCTTATTATCTCTGCTCTTGAACCCTTCTCTAAGTAGTGTACTTGCACTACAGAAAATTATATTTTTGGCGATTAAAAAAAATTTAATCGTCAAAAATTATAGAATTAACGATCAAACATTATATTAGTCGGTAAAAGTATAAGATTTAGTTACTAATTTTTTTTAGTTGGGGTATATTGATTATTGACGACTAAAAAAAATATAGTCATTAAATATGTTACAATTGGCGACAAATATAATGTTTGGTCGCTAAACATGTCACTATTGGCGACAAAACAAAAAATTTAGTCGCTATATAGGTACTTTTGGCTACTAAAACTATTTAGTCGCCGAATGAAAAATAAAAAAAATTACATTTCATCTTTTGCGACCACAAGTTTGGTAGCCAAATATTTATTTTCAGCGATCAATTAATATTTTAGTCGCTGCATAGTTATGTTTGGCTACTAAGATTATTTTAGTCGCCAAATGAAAATCAAAAAAATTAATTTTAGTCTTTGGCGACCAAAAGTTTGGTCGCCAAACATGTATTTTCAGCGATTAAAAAATATTTTAGTCGCTTTATATTTAGTTTTGGATACTAAAATTATTTAGTCGCCGAATGAAAAACAAAACATTACTTTTTATCTTTGGCGACCACAAGTTTGGTAGCAAACAAATTTATTTTCAGAGACCAACTAATATTCTAGTCGATGTATAGTTAGTTTTGGCTACTAAGATTATTTAGTCGCCGAATAAAAAACAAAAATTAATTTTTATCTTTGGCGACCACAAGGTCGATAGCCAAAAATTTATTTTCAGCGACCAACTAATATTTTAGTTGTTGTATAGTTAGGTTTGGCTACTAAGATTATTTTAGTCACCGAATGAAAATCAAAAAATTAATTTTAGTCTTTTGCGACTAAAAGTTTGGTTGCCAAAAATGTATTTTCAACGACTAAAAAATATTTTAGTCGCTGTATAGTTAGTTTTGACTACTAAAATTATTTAGTCGCCGAATGAAAAGCAAAAACTTATTTTTTATCTTTGGCAACCACAAGTTTGGTAGCAAACAAATTAATTTTCAGAGACCAACTAATATTTTAGTCGCTATATAGTTAGTTTTGGCTACTAAAATTATTTAGTCGCCGAATGAAAAACAAAAAATTAATTTTTATCTTTGGCGACCACTAGTTTGATAGCCAAAATTTTATTTTCAGCGACCAGCTAATATTTTAGTCGTTGTATAATTAGGTTTGGCTACTAAGATTATTTTAGTCACCGAATGAAAATAAAAAAATGTCACGACCCAAACCTGTCCCTATGGGTTTAGCACCGTAACCGGCCAGTAATCCATGGACTACCAAAGGCCTCTGAACAGATTAACAAATAATAATGGGCTGCGGAAGCAATAATACAAAATAGACAAGGTCCAATGAGCTGTGACGACGTACATGGGGCAGAACATTTCAAGACTTACCTTTAGATATATAAACATGCCAGTCTAGATACACAATATTTACAAAAGTGAACTTCCCAAGATCTGACTTTACAAATAGTTATCGAGACTAGCATGAAAATAAAAACAGCCTTGGCGTTAAACTTTGATCAGAACCTCTTCGGGAGGCACAAAAGTTGACTGACAAAACGATACAGAAGGCCATCAACTCTGGCCCTGGTCATGTGTCGGCTCACCTACATACATAATATAAACTGTGAGCGAAAGCCAAATGAATAATAACAGGGTAAAGGGGTTATATGAATGATGTCCAGCACAAGTTAGAATCCAGCATTTAAATCAGAG